GATGACACCTGATTGGCTCTCTAAACGCTCATGCTCATGGGATACAATCAGATGAAGGAAAGCTACCCGATATCAACCTAAGCCAGTTGTGCTTCCTTTTTCTGGTTATTTGGCTATACCTGTTCATAGAATACAGTACAGATAATTGAACACACTATGTTGCATTACATCAGACATGTCAAACACAAGGCCCGGGGGCCGGATGCGGCCCGCGAAGTGGTTTCATGTGGCCTGCGAAGCCATCCTGGAAACAGTGAGGGAACGGCCCCTGCTGCCTTGGCCCTGGCCCAGGCCGGCCGGGAGCCAATGTACACTTTTGTGGTGGCCATCTATGCTGAAAGGCATTCAGCTCCACAAGGCCGTCCAGAAACAGCGAGGAACCAGCCCCTGCCGCGTCGTCCCCGTCCCCTGGGTGCATGTTGGGGAGGTGTCCCCCTTTGTGAGGAATGAAGAAATGGACCATCGCCTGGAAGTAGCCAGCAAACGGCCCTCGCCTACTTCACCTATCCGGCTTGATGGGCTCTGGGGGAGGGGTGTCGGCAGGCAGCGGGGCACTCTCCTCACAGTGAGGTTCCTCCAGTGGACCATGCCTTGGCACTTGCCCCGGTCCCACCCCCTTCTGCCAGAGACCCTCAGATCTGTCCCACTCCTGCCCAGGCCCCCACAGGCGCCCTTGACACGAATGATGTAGAGCTAGCCACACCCACCCAGTAGGCCACACCCACTCCATCCACGCCCACCCAGTAGGCCGCACCCACCCTAGCCACACCCACCCAGCTCTCCGAGGGCAACTGCAATGCTGATGCGGCCCTCAATGAAATTGAGTTTGACACCCCTGCATTACATTCTTGATTAAATTGTCTTTCCATTGATACATAATTTTATGGTACTACTCCCCCCAAAAGTGGTGTTATTAGCCATCAAACCTCAAAAATACACTTTTCCCAAAAGGTTTCCACAATTTTAGCCACTACTGTAGAACCTGTCACGGTCGGCTGCCTTGTGACTCACTTTATTATTCCTTAAGGGAATAATAAGTGCCAGTAATTTTTTTTTATCCCCATAGACCTTTAGCTATGCACTTTGGGATGAAGAGCCTTCAATGTTTAAAATGTTTCTGTGTGTTCCAGCTTCAAAGGTGGCTGCTCCGTTTGCCTGCCGGGTACTGAAGTGACCCTTTGCGTTCTTTCCTGGACAGGAAATGGCCAGCAATGAACTGAAAGAGATCCGCAAAGCCATGACCAAGGAGGCTATCCGGGAGCATCAGATGGCCAAAACTGGAGGGACCCAGACAGATCTTTTCACTTGTGGCAAGTGCAAGAAAAAGAACTGCACCTACACTCAGGTGATATTTCACGGGTTTTCTCGATCACTTTTCAAAGCGCTCAAATCTCCCTTCCCCCAGAGGGAACCTGGTGTTATGATTCCTCGCCAGCCAGTGGACCCGGCAGCTGAGTCTGAGGAATCAGAGGAGGAGGAGGGGCCTGGAGGGACATCAGAGGAAGGCTCTGAGGAGCTCCAAGACTTACAGTCTCTGACGAGGAGCCTGGCTCCTCTACTCACACTCAGGCTGAGACACAGCTGTGCTGGGAGTCTGAGCTGGACAGTGATGAAGAACAGCTGGGACAAATCCAGGATGCAACGAAAGCGCCGGCAAGAGAAGCGAGTAGGACAGAGGAATGCAATGGGGCGGCTCCAAAGGCAAAGGAGAAGGCATTAGGAAGCCACGCCTGGACTGAATAATAACAGGGAAGGTGTGGGAGGTGCTGGTGGCCGAAGGCAAGCTATTCATGTTGAGGATCGAGTTTCTAGGAACTGTGTTTGTTTGCCTTGGATATTGACTCGGGTCTGTGAATAATAAAAGGGGTTGGTTTTTTGTTTTGCCCCGTTTTACGGCCTTTCTGGCCACAGTTGTTAAGTGGATCGCTGCAATTGTAAAGTTAGTGACACGGTTGTTCAGTCAGTCCCACTACCCCAGTGGTTCTCAACCTGTGGGTTGGGACCCCATTTGGGGTCGATTGACCATTTCACGGGGGTCGCCAAGCAAGGCTGTCCGCCATTTTTTTTTGTCCGCCATTTTTTTCCCCTTTTCCGGCGGGTGCCTTACCTCCCTTGGGCTGGGCCAGCTGGTGGTCGGCCTGCTCCGTCTCTGCCGCTTGCCAGCTACGCCTCGGCCGGCGCAGGGGGCGGAACCACGCATGCGCGGCGCTCCCAGGCAGGGAAAGTCCTTGACTTACGACCGGTTGGGTAGTCCTCGACTTACGACCGGTTGGGGTCGCGGCATTAAAAAGGTTGAGAACCACTGCACTACCCTCTTGACTTTGCTTGTCGGGGTCACAAAAAGGGAATCACATAATCCCGGGGCACAGCAATCGTAAATACACGCCAGTGGCCGAGCATCTGAATTTTGATCACGTGACCGTGGGGGGGTATTGCAAGGGCCGTAAGTATGGAAAACAGTCATAAGTCACTTTTTTTTCAGTGCCGATGTAGGTTTCATGCCAGTCTTTGAGCTCCAAGTGTGACGGGAGAGCTAGGTCTTGAGGTACTTTGGAAAGACCAGGAAAGTGGGGGGCTGATTCATTCCACAGGGTGGGGGGGGCAACAGGAGAGAAGACCTATTGTTGGACTCCGGATTCTTTTTTTTAACTTGCAAATTGTGGTCATGTGATTGTGGGGCACTGCAAACAGAGATCAATGCTGGCTGGTTGCCCAGGGCCCGAAATGTGAGACGGAGGAGGTGGCGACCTTTAGACCTTTAAATCCAAATCATAGGTACCTTTTGGGAGGGGGGGGAGTCTGTTGTAGCTTTGAGTGGTTTGCTAAGTAACTGGTCGTTAAGCGAGGATTACCATGAATATGTGGAAGGGCTGAAGAAAGATGACGATTTGACACGTTGGGAAATATAACAACAACAACAATAATAATAATAATAATAAAGTTGGAAGGGACCTTGGAGGTCTTCTAATCCAACCCACTACTCAGGCAGGAAACCCTATACGAGTGGTTCTCAACCTTTTTAATGCTGCGACCCCCAACTGGTCGTAAGTCGAGGACTAAACCGGTCGTAAGTCGAGGACTAAACTGGTTGTAAGTCGAGGACTACCCAACCGGTCGTAAGTCGGGGACTTTCCCTGCCCGGGAGCGCCACGCATGCGTGGTTCCGCCCCCTGCGCCGGCCGAGGCGTAGCTGGCAAGCGGCAGAGACGGAGCAGGCCGACCACCAGCTGGCCCAGCCCAAGGGAGGTAAGGCTCCCGCCGGAAAAGGGGAAAAAAAATGGCGGACAGCCTTGCTTGGTGACCCCCGTGAAATGGTCGATCGACCCCAAATGGCGTCGCGACCCATAGGTTGAGTACCGCTGCCCTATACCAGGGGTAGGCAACCTTGGCTCTTTTATGACTGGTGGACTTCAACTCCCAGAATTCCTGAGCCAGTCATGCTGAGGGGAAAGGGAGAGGTTTCCATGCTGAGCCATGCTGACTCAGGAATTCTGGGAGTTGAAGTCCACCAGTCATAAAAGAGCCAAGGTTGCCTACCCCTGCCCTATACCATGTCAGACAAATGGCTGTCCAGTCTCTTCTTAAAAACTTAAAAATACGTAACCTCGCTGAGGCCTACCCTGTGTTTGATTCCCACAGGTGCAGACCCGCAGTTCGGATGAGCCAATGACAACCTTTGTGGTGTGTAACGAATGTGGAAATCGCTGGAAGGTAAGCCATCTTGATGCCTGGATGTGACTTATTGAACCCGGCACAGGTAGGCCTTGACGTACGACTCGTTAAAGTGAATTTTGCCCCGTTTTACAACCTTTCACGCCACAGTTGTTTTAAGTGAATCACTGCAGTTGTTAAGTTAGCAACCCGGTCGTTAAGTGAATCTGGCTTCCCCATTTAGTTTGCTTGTCAGAAGGCCGTAGAATGAGATCACGTGACCCCCAGGATGGTGCAGCCGTCATAAATACGAATCAGTTACCAAGGATCTGAATTTCTGGCCATAGTTGTTAAATGCATTCACTGCAGTGGTCAGGTTTGTACAGGTAGTCCTCAACTTACAACAGTCCATTTAGTGACCATTCAATGGTACAACGGCACTCAGAAAAAGTGACTGACGACCGTTTTTCACACAACCCTTGCAGCATCCCCAGGGTCACGTGATCCAAAATCCACACGCTTGGCAAGTGACCCATATTTATGACGGTTGCAGTATCCCGGGGTCACGCGATCCCCTTTTGCGACCTTTCGATAATAATAATGTTGGAAGGGACCTTGAAGGTCATCTAGCCCAACCCCCTGCTCAGGCAGGAAACCCTATACCATTTCGGACAAATGGCTGTCCAGTCCCTTCTTAAAAACTTCCAGTGTTGGAGCATTCACAGCTTCTGGAGGCAGATTCACTTAACGACCGTGTTCCCCAACTTAAGAACTGCACTGATTCACTTAATCACCGTGGCTAGAAAGTTTGTGAAAGATCCCTTAACTACTTTCTGACTTAGCAACATAAATTTTTGGGCTCAATTGTGGTCGTAAGTCGAGGACTATCTGTAAAATGCTTGTTAAGCGAATCTGCCTCCCCCCATTGACTCTGCTCGTCAGAAAGTCGCAAAAGGGGTCTTGTGACCCCCGGGGACACTGCACCCGTCGTAAATATGAGTCAGTTGCCAAGCGTCTGAATTTTGATCACGTGACCCTGGAGGATGCTGCGACGGTTGTGTAAGTGTGAAAAACGGTCAGCAGTCACTTTCCTCAGTGCCGTTGTGTTCAGTGTTTGAACGGTCACTAAACGAACTGTTGCAAGTTGAGACTACCTGTTTCTGGTTTAGGAGTTGAGATAAAGCCCTATGAAGCGATATACAAGTCTAAGTGCTATTGCTATTTAAATCCACTTTATGCTTTGTGCAAAGAAAGGAAGGAGAGAGAAAAAAAATAAACATTGACGGGACTAATAATAATAATGATGATGATGATGATGATGATGATGATGATGATGATGATGATGATGATGATGATGTTGGAAGGGACCTTGGAGGTCATCTAGTCCAACCCCCTGCTCAGGCAGGAAACCCTATACCATTTTAGACAAATGGCTGTCCAGTCTCTTCTTAAAGATTTCCAGTGTTGGAGCATTCACCGCTTCTGGAGGCAGGTTGTTCCACTGGTTAATTATTTTAACTGTCAACTTCATATAAAGAAAACTTATATAAAATGTTTTATAGATGGCACTTGCCACCAGCAAGATTAGCAAAAATGTTTAAAAATATGTCAGATAGATGTTGGAAATGTAAGCACAACTCAGGCACATAATAATAATAATAATAATAATAATAATAATAATAATAATAATAATAATAATAATAGGAGGCACCTTGAGAGAGGGAAAGTAGAGGGGTAAAGGAAGGAAGGAAGGAGAAGGAGGGAGGGCAGAATGAATTAAGGAAGGAAGGAAGGAAGGAAGGACGGAAGGAAGGAAGGAAGGAAGGAGAGGGAGGAAGGGCAGAAGGGAGGAAGGGAAGGAGAGATGGAAGGAATGAGGGAGGAAAGGATGGCAGGAAGGGGAGGAAGGAATAAAGGAGACAGAAGGAAGGAGAGAGGGAGGAAGGGAGGACAGAAGGAAGAAAGGAAGGGAGGGAGGAGACAGGGAACAAGGGAGGGAAGGAAGGAAGGGGAGTGAGGAAGGAAACAAGGAAGAGAGAGAGGAATGAAGGAAAAGAAGGAAGGAAGGAAGGAAGGAAGGAAGGAAGGAAGGAAGGAAGGAAGGAAGGACCCGGTCATTATCTCAGAGTCCTCCCACCTTCTGGGAGCCTCAGTGGGTCCTCCATTCCCCTTCAGCAGAAGAGGCTTTTTTTTGTGTGCAGTTGTTTCTCTCTCTCTAAATCCCCTTCCCCTTCTTACAGTTCTGCTGAAAACCTCACCGAGGGGAGCAGCCACAGCCGATTCGGGGCCCAAGCTCTGCCACGGACTCCTGCCGTACCGCCAGCAGATTATTTTTTTTGTCCTGTTTTTGTCACCGAGTTTGCTTTGTGCTCTGTACATCATCCAGGTGAGGAGGGCCCCGGCTGCCTGCACACCTGTAGGAAGCCTCAGCGGCTGGGAACGGAGGCTGCCGGGATGGCGCCGGATGGGACAGTTTAACCCGGGACCAACCAGCTTATTGTTGAGAATGTGGAACAGCGACTTTTTGTTCTTGTTTCGTTTCGTTTCTCTTAAAACGGCCAGGCGTCGTCTGGCTTTGAGCCTCAAAAGTGTACAGACAGCTTCTTGTGAGTCTCCTTGGCTTCTCAAAAGCTACAACCAGTATTAACCCAACTTCCTAATCCTGGGTTCAAGGCTCCTTTCTGTTTTGCAGGATGACTTTTTTTCGCTTCCATTGCACAAACCTGCCCAGTTTGAAAGCTGCGGGGCTTCCAGCCCCTCTACCGAAAAAAAAAAAAAAGTATTACTCATCCTGCTTTCATTTTGTTTTGGGAGCTGGAAAGAATAGGAAATAGAGTGAAAAGGTTTTGTTTCCCCACCACCCCCCAAAATCGGTTGAAATATATATTGATTTTCCCGTGGCTGGGTTGTAAAAACAAACCATCTCTCAAAAGCGGGCTGCTGTCGTTAACGATATGAAAAGTGGGGGCTTCAAAAGAAAACTAGGAGGGGGAAAAAAATAGTATTCAAAATTCAGAAGTGTTTCTAGGAAAATAGCTTTAATTTCAGCCGACTCTCTGCAATTGGGTGGGAGAAAAAAAAGCTGCCTTTGAAAGTTGGCAGCTTGCAGACTTTGGGGGGAATGCCGTGTGTAAAATGGAGGCGCTTCGGCTTGCATCCCTATTGACTGTTGTGTGTGAAATCTCTAAGATGCATTCTTTGTGTGTGTTAGGAACACAACTGCCCTCTGCTAATTGCATCTACACACCAGTTTCCGTTTTCCACATAGGACAAGCCTCTGCCTTGTGAACCCTCACAAACACACATCCATGTGAAAAGAGAGCCATTTTATACTTGACGGAGTGGGTAATTTGGCCTGCGTGCCCAAGCCTATCCACAGCCTCTTAAGTGCAAGTGTTACTAACGCAAAAATATTTGAGTTTGTTAAATGAAAAATCCTGGGGGGGTGGTGGTGTGAGGGAAGGAAAAGGGAGACGTTTACTTAGGCTGGTGGTATCGAACTGCTGTGCGAGATCTCAGAAAAAGAGTTGAAATACAAGATTTTTGAACCAGTGTGTCTCAAACTTTCAGACAGGTGGACTTCAACTCCCAGAATTCTCCAGCCAGCATGGCTGGCTGGGGAATTCTGGGAGTTGAAGTCCACCTGTCTGAAAAGCTTGCCAAATTTGAGAAACACCATTTTAGACCTTCCCCTCCAGTCAGCCAAGGTAGCTAAACTTAACCAGGCAAATGAAATCAATTCGTGATTTAGGAAAGATGGTTAACCCAAAGGAACTTGGATTGTACCTTTGCTGCATCATCTCATTCATCGGGCCCTCTCATTTTATTTTAAATTTTATTTTCTGTGTTCCATGTACAGTCGCAAATGCAAAATAATAAAAAAAAACATTCCTTCACGAAGAACACGGCGATCTGCCGGTTGAAAAAACGTCAAATTATTTTTTGGGGGGGGGGGAATTAAAATTGGGAAAAATCCAGAGCTTTTGTCTGTCGATGTCCACTTTTCTATCAGGCTATTTTCCTAAACGACCACTTATTTCAAACCCTGCCAGGTTGCACAGCAGACTTTCCCTAAGCTTGGTGGTTTTTAACCGTGGTCGGTCTTGGTTTGTGTGCCTCAATCTACCTTATAGTACTGGTAGTCCTCGACTTAACAAGCGTTCGTTTAGTGACCGTTCAAAATTACAACGGCACTGAAAAAAGTGGACTGATGACCGTTTTTCACACGTAATGACCGTTGCGGCCTCCCCAGGGTCACGTGATCAAAATTCGGAAGCCTGGCAAACTGGCTCATATTTACGATGGGGGTCATGTGATCCCCTTTTGCGACCTTCTGACAAGCAAAGTCGATGGGGAGGCCAGATTCACTTAACAACCAGGTTGCTAACTGAACCACTGCAGTGACTCGCTTAACAACTGTGGCAAGGAAGGTCGCAAAAAGGGCAAAACTCGACTGTCTCGCTTAGCGACAGAAATTTGGGGCTGAAGTAAGCTTTTGGCTCACTACATTAACGTAAACACCGACAATAGATTAACTCAGTGAGCAGGCCGAACTTGTTGTGTGACCGCAACCACCGAGGTTTGGAAAATGCTACTTCTTTGTGTTCAGCTGTACCTGAGGCAATACAATCTGCAGTTCTGAGGTGACTTTTTACCTCAGCTGAACGTGGTTTGAAATGTCTCAAACGGGAAGATCTGAAACCATGAGCGAAGAGGGGCATATTGGAGAAGGCCCGGATGGGGCCCTTGTGTGCTGCCTCATTTTAAGCCAATGTTTGTTTGTTTTTTCAAACTTGGCCACTTGAAGGTGGGTGGACTTCAACTCCCAGAATTCCTCAGCCAGCCATGTTGGCTAGGGAATTCTGGGAATTGAAGTCCACCCATCTTCAAGTCGCCGAGTCTGAAAAATACCATTTTAAGCCATCGGATCTGGTGAGGAATGTATGAAGAGGGCTAAATATATATATTTCCCAGAGTATCTTTTCTTCTAGAATTTTTTTCTCTCTGCTGCCGTGCCAGTTGCAGTTGCAAAATCTCTCCTTTGAGAGCTGACTTAAGTTGAAGATCAAACCAGCCATGGAAAAAAGAAAACTGAGGGCTACATTCACCCAATGTATTTAATCCAGTTCTATGAAGATCACCAAAACCTAATATGGGTAAAGTTAAGCTTGGTTACTTAGGTTTTGGGGAGTCTTAGTGGCTTGTTCCAGTGAACGCTGTTTGGTCTAGTCCAGGGGTCTTCAAACTTGGCCCTTTTATGACTTGTGGACTTCAACTCCCAGAATTCCTCAGCCAGGCACGTGTGCTGGCTGAGGAATTCTGGGAATTGAAGTCCACAAGTCATAAAAGGGCCAAGTTTGAAGATCCCTGGGTTAGTCAGTGGTGAGTGCATTATAGGGATCCCAAAAATATAATTTAACTCAGTACAGGCAGTCCTTGACTTACAACCATTTGTTTAGTGACTGTTACAATGGCACTGAAAAAAGTGACAATTTTTCACGCTTAGGACCGCTGCAGCACCTCCTTGGTCACATGATCAAAGTCACCTAAGAATTGTCTGGCTTAGCAGTGCAAATTTTGGGCTCAATTTTGGTCGTAAGTCGAGGACTACCTGTAATCTAGTTATTATCCTATGTGAACGAGCCACGTCCTGCCTAATAAAGGAATGAAGGGAACAGGATGTTCTCAAAATCCAGGTTTATATGTGTGGTTATCCCTGTTCCTCCCCCCCCCCAAGTAAGATATGAGATAAAAGACTTTCTGACTGTTAGCCAAATCAAGCTTTGGCTTGGCTCTCTTTCATATTATTCTGTCTTAAATGAAGCCATGAAATCGAACAGGATTGGGCTTTATCTCTCAGAAACAAAGCTTGAAATATAGGATTGGTTTGATAGAATCTCTGATCAGACAAAACTAAGCCAATAATTTACCAAGCTTTGGCTATATATTCAAACATTCCCTTCATTTTGCCCATCTCAGTGCCAAAATGAAAAGCCATCAGAAATATAGAAAGAAATATCTTTTCTTTGTTACTCTTTCCAAGGTAACTTTCAACTCAAAGCTACAACGGAGGCTTCATTTGTTTTGAGTGGGAAAAGTCCCTTAAATAATAATAAAAAAAGAATACTGAAATTTTGCAGGAGGAAAGATGGGTCCAACCTGTAGAGAGGAAAGGATTTGACATCACAACCTCAACTCACAAATCACCGGGGGCCACTGTGGCCACTGTTCGGGGTGCGTATGTGGCCAGATTTCTGCAGCGATTTTGCTTCTGTGCCAACTCGAGAAACTGCCAAATATTGGCAACTCTAGCATGTGAGTCTGCAGATCCACTCTCAAGTTCAGTGTTGATATATTTTGCAAAAAAAATAAAACATATTTACCATACCCCAAAGCTTTTTCATTTTTACTGGAGCTGCTCAAGGTGGGGAAAGTAATTTGATACATTCAGCTAACGGTTAAGCGCAGCTATTCAGCATTACTTCAAAGATGGTGGAGCTGGGATCGCGGGATAGGAATTGAAAAGGATCCCCAAAGGTTTTGCAACTACGATCCTGCACCAAAGCAGTCTTTTCAGTTTCAAATATTAGCAAGCTTTTTCCAGTTAATAATTTCAATTCAAATACTCTTTTTTATGTTTAAGATCTGTGCTTGGAAAGGAGTGTGCCTTTAAAAAAAGCAGATACCAGAATACAGGTAGTCCTCGACTTACAACTATTTGTTTAGTTAACAATGGCGCTGAAAAAAGGGACTTGCAACTAACCCTTGTACTTAAAACTCTTGTGCCATCCTGCCACGTGATCAAAATGTGGGCATTTGGCAACCAGCTTGTAATTACGGAGGTAGCAGTGTCCTGGCATTTACATGTCCTTTCCAACTGGCTTGCGACAAGCAAAGTCAATGGGGGAAGCCAGATTCGCTTAACGACTGATTCGCTTAACGACTGCAGTGATTTGCTTTGGCTGGGATGCACTTAACTGCTCCCTTGCTTAGCGATAGAAGTTCTGGTCCCGATTGCAGTCATTAAGTCGAGGATTATCTGTAGCATCAGGAAGATCCCATGACTGAATTATCAAGGTCACGAGACTTACAAACATGATGGACTGGCTTCCATTACAGTCGTAAGTCAAGGATTATCTATACATATATGTGGAAGACAGATGGAAGTTGCCCTGATAGTCAATTCACCGGCGATCAAAGCAATTTGCATCTGTGCTACTAATTAAAAGGAGGTGTTTTCCCCATTCTAGCTTATCAGCCATAGTTATCCTGCAGAGGGACCTCATTCTTCTTCCTCAGTTATCTATTTACCCTTCCATTTTTGTTTGAAAAATTCCACTTAAGCCACAGATGGTCTGCATTTGGCTTAACAAAAGTGTGTGAACCAGTCATTGGTAAATCATTTTAATGGCTTGGCAGG